GAGAGTCAATTTCCTCTAAGGGTGTGGTCTCCTGACAGGTAGACAGTTGCTACAGTGGACAGCCCTACATCCATGAGTATAAGGGCAGCGCAAAATTGGGTGGGTTATTGAAAGAAAAGAGACATGAACTTGGAGAGGGATGGAGACATAGGGTGTGGCCCTGGGAAGAGTTAGAGAAGGAGGGGGTGAATATAATCAAAATATCTTGTATGCAATCACACCTGCAATCCCTGCACTTGGAAGGGAGGCAAGATGATCAGAAATTCAGGCTCATCCTTGGCTACACAGCGAGTTTGAGGCCAGTCTGGGCTATATGAGACCCTCTCTCTCTCTTTTTTTTTAATTTTTATTTTTTATTTTATGTGTATGAGTGTATTGCCTGCATGTAGGTGAGTGCACCCGTGTAGTGCAATGCCGTGGAGGTCAGAAGAGGGCTTCGTATTCCCCTGGAACTGGAGTTAAGGACGGTTTGTAGCTGCCATGTGGGTGCTGGGAATCGAACCCAGGTCCTCTGCAAGAGCAGTCAGTGCTCTTAACCGCTGAGCCATCTCGCCAGCCCCAGAGACCCTCTCTTTAAAAAAAACAAACAAATGGGGCTGGAGAGATTGCTCAGTGGTTAAGAACACTGACTGTTCTTGCAGAAGACCCAGGTTCGAATCCCAGCTAACAACTGTTCATAACTCCAGCTCCAGGGGATCCAACAGCCTCTTCTGATAAATGGGACATTTATCATTGCATTGCACAACATGGATGCACTTACGTACTTGCAGGCATAATACTCATACACATAAAATAGAAATAATAAATAAAATGTTTTTAAAAAACGAAAACAAAATGAACAAGAGTATGGAGAAGCTTGGGGGAGAAGTGACCAGACTTGACAGAAGTGGGGTTTTTGAGATGGCCTTAAAGGATTAGTGAGGTTCTGTCAAGGAAAACTAAATACTCTCGGGGTTGAGGGGGGCATTGCACTGAGATTCAGGCAGCAGCAATCACAGCCAGGAAGTCGCAGATTGCTAGCCAGCTGGCTTATCAGGGGACAGCTATGGGCTCTGATCCTCTGATTCAAAGCTGACCAAGGGCCAGCTGTGAGGCTGGGACACTAGGCAGGTGGAATCAGTAAAGAAAGGCCTTGAGAGGGGCACTTGGCCTGAGCAAACATAAGGGGTTGGGGCTGCAGCTTAGTGGCATAGAATACTTGCCTGGCATGCACAAGGCCCTGAGTTTGATCCCAGCACCCTTTCCCCTCTCCCCAAACTCCTTCAAATTATTTCACTGCCTGACTGAACAGGCATAAATACCAAACCCCACTGGCACAGCCCTGCTTCATTCATTATTTCTTGAAAAGAAGCCATTTTTGATCCCCATCTCCCTTCCCTGGGGAGGTAAAATGCTAAGTGTTCTTGAGCTTATAAAGACCCAAAGGCAAATGTATCTGTGGTGGGGTGCTGTCTTGTCAAACGCAACTCAAGCAGAGGGTTCTGGCCCCCTGGTCATATCAGAAGAGACTGACAGACCGAGTATAGACCTCCCTGGCTAGGTGCCCCTCTGGCTTCCCTGCTCTGATCCTCTAGAGAATATCGTAGCTCACTGGAGTTCACAAAGGTGTCACTTGCTTGGCCCCTGTGTCCATCTTTCGATTTTTATAATACACAGCCTCTGGGAAAGGACTGAAAACCAGCCTGGCAGACATGGATAATAAGCAGGGTTTCTGTGCCCAAGGAGTAACATGTTTATTTCCTCAGGGATCCTGGCATCATGCCTGAAGCTTTGCTGATTCAGCCTGGTACTGTCTGGTATACACCTCACTGCCCAGACCTCAGTCTCAAGGTCACAAGTTTCCCCTGGATCATGCTGACTTTGATATCTCTACTCTCTGAAACTTCATGCTGTGAAAACATACCTACTGGGCACTTCTTTACATGCTGGGAACAGGGTGTAAGCTTACAAATAAGGCACATACCAGCCCTGGCTTTGTGGAACTTATCATGTGAGAGAGACAGACCCTGAAGCGACCGCCTAAGTGTCTTGGATAAGGATAAGGAAGCACAAGTGCAGGGAATTGTGAGAATGTAGGTAGGACAGGGAGAGGAACTGACTCTTGGGGGGGTGGCAAAGATCTGGAAAGGCCTCAGCCTGCAAGGAAGTGTCCTCCGATTCCTGAGAATGCTTGGGAGTGCAGCAGGCCAAGAGATGGCATGAAATAGCAGGAACACCTCCCTCCCCAAGGTTATTTATTTATTTTGTGTGCCTATAGGAGGGCACACGTGTGCCATATAGTGTATGTATAAAGGTCAAAGGACAAGTGACAGAGGTCAGTTCTCTCCTCCTACCACATGGGTGTCCCAGGATCAAACTCAGGCAAGTGCTTTTACCTCCTGAGCCATCTCATTAGCCCCATTTTGTTTTTTGAGACCGGGTCTTACTATATAGCCCTGGTTGGCCTGACATCACACTATGTAAACCAGGTTGACCTCAAACTTAGAGCAGTCTTCCTGCTAGAATTAGAGCATGTTCCACCAGGCCCTACCTTCTCTTTCTTAAATTTCCTCCATCCCAACATCAGCCCAACTTTTCCCCTTCTTTCCGGTCCCATTTGAAGGCTTACCTGGCTCCTTATGCATTTCACTCAGCCTTCCCAGAGGATGGTCTTGCTCTCTAAGGTCGTGGACAATGGTGACAGGAAGCGAGTCTTGGAAGAGCCCAGCCCAGCCGGGTTCAGCCCCTGCTTTACTCTTTAATGATTGAGACCCTTGGCAAGCAAGTGGTTAGCCTGTCTGAGCACTGGAGCCCTATGTGCACGAGGAGTTTCCTTAGCCAGAAAAGTCTAGGAGAGGGATGAGGTCTATAAAGCACTTAGCTTGAGGCTGCTTGAGACAGGAGTTTGCACACACACACACACACACACACACACACACACACACACACACCTTTCCCCTCAGTGTCAAAATTGACTTGGTTCAATTACCTCTGTTTCTCCATGGAAACCTGGTATCCCCAGTCAGAGTGCCCCTATTAAACCTACCCCCTGCTTGGTAAATTGTATCTGTTCTCTATGCAATTTCTAAATGCCTAATGGGCCTTGACTTTGGGGGCTCCTCAATGTGTTAGAAAAGACATTAGTCTTTTCTAACCAGGCAGACTCATTGTAGGGACCCCAAGATCTGTCTCTGAGGTTTCTAGGTCCTATAGGGCCAAGGATGGGGTGGCTCCTATAACCCAATCAGCTTGCACTGAGGTGACACTTGTGAATGACCTTGTCAGTTGGGCAAAAGGATGAAGCCTTCTAGGTCCAACATTCTGTTCATTCATTCATTCATTTTAAAGTATCTATTGGGCCAGCAAGATTTCTCACTGTGTAAAGGCGCTCACTACTAACTCTGATGACCTGAGTTCAATTCTCAAGACCAACATGGTAGGAGAGAACTGACTCCCACAAGTTCTGACTTCCACATGCATGCCACGGCATGTATGTGTACATGCCTTTAATCCCAGCACTTGGGAGGCAGAGGCAGGCACATCTCTATGTGTTCAAGGCCAGCCTGGTCTACACAGTGAGTTCCAGGCCAGCTGGGGCTACAGGGAGACCCTGTCTCAAACAAACACAAAAACACATAGGCAAGCATGGTGTTACATGCCTGTAGCTCTAGCACTCAAGGGGCTGAGGCGGGCTCTGACACAGCTTCCCTGCAGGTCCCTTTCAAACTTGACTGTGTCCCCCTCTCCTTGGCCTAAGTATGTCTGTCATGCCAGGGGGCATACAGAGGGCAAGGAAAGCAAGCATACCTAGAGCTCTGAGTAGAGATTCCCTGAGTGTCCCACCCTCACCCAAGCCTGGTCTATGTGTCTGTGTTGTGACACTTGAGACGCTGGAGCCAGACATGGGGAGGGTAAAGGTTGCTCTAAGAATTGCTCTTCTGTTCTTGTTGAGATGTGCTCTTGGGAAGAGGGGAGTTTTGGTGGGGGAGGTTTGACCTTGTGTATTCGTCAATAAACTCATTTACATACACACACACACACACACACACACACACACACACACACACAAGGCTGAGGCAGGAAGATCTTGAGGTTGAAGTAAACCTGAGCCAAATAGTGAGACCTTGGCCCAGTTCTCGAAAAAAGCATTCTCAACTCTCAGGGTATTTATATCCACAGGAAAGATGGCTGTCAACCAAAGCATGAAACAGTAGCAAAAGGATACCCTGATGATCTGTACATGATGCTGAGGGATCAGTGGGAAGGGTTGACCTAGTCTGGGAGGTCAGAGAGGCATTCGGGAAATCATAGGGGAATTAGGATCTGATAGATGAATTGATATTAACCAAAGAAAGATGGGTAGGGAACATTCCAGAAGGAGAGAACAGCACTGGAAAGACAAGGTGGAAAGGATAGGGCTAGGGAGAGCTACCCTGCAGATCCTCAGAGGTAGGGCTAAGAGTTGATTATTTACTGACCCCATGGAGCTCTGAGCATAGATCAGAGCAAGTCAGCTGCTGCTGTGATTTTTACTTATGCATCTTAAAAGCAGCAAGAAGCAAATTAAGGCAGGGTGGGGATGTGTTGATGGGAGGAAAGGGTGACCCGATTATATTTGCCATTGGAAAAGCTTATTCAGGCTGCAGGATGCTGAGATTAAATGCAGGTAGATGGGCTGGGAGCCCAAGATGGATAGCTTTGGGAGAGGAAGTCAGTCACTGATTTCCAGAGTCTTGGCTGCCCAGCTGGTTTATCGTCTCCCATTTTGGTCTCCATGATCCCAAATCACCCTTCCATGGTGCCCAAGCCCAGGTAGACGGGAGTGTGTGTGCGACTGTCTCAGGAAAGTGTGGTTCCCAAGGACAACCTAGTGGTGAGCAAAAGACCTTCCCAGCATTCACAAATGTGAATTTCAGTGGCACTTTCCCTTGCTTGGACAAGTGCTCTTGGAATTGATGAACAATCTTCAAACCATATGGATGAAAATCATCTCTCCTTTTTCCTCTGTCTTGTCTCTCTAGGCTCATATTTGGCACCCTTTACCCTGCATATTATTCCTACAAGGCTGTGAAGTCAAAGGACATCAAAGAATATGTAAGTAAAGTGTTTCATTTCAGAGGGGGTGGCCAATGGGTGAGTTATTGGCTGAGCATAAAGTGGCGGTGGAAGGGAGATGTCCTCTTTGGCACAGGCACTGATGTCAGGAAGGAGCCCTCATTGCCCTTCTCACGTGACTTCTCAGGAACCCCAAACCCTTCTAAAACTGTCCCCTGTCTAGACCCTGAGTGTTGAAGTGAGGAAAGCAGAGAAACAGAGAGTTCTGAAATGGCCTCACACGTCGTGTGTGACTTCACCTCCCTCAACCTCAGTTTCTGTAGATCATCGGTTACTGTCAGGCATTGAGGGAAGGGGCAGGGGTCCTAGATTCCAGCAGACCTAGTTTTTCCCTGGATCTACAACTTTCACCCCCATTCCAATCTGTTTCCCAAACCTCACAGTTTAAACCCTGTTGCTATATAAGCTCTTTGAGGCTGTTTATCATCTATCTGTCTCCTGCAGCACCTTTGCAAATAGTTGAGCATATGAGAAGGGGATCAGGAGAACTCACTGGGTAGAGGATTGTAATCATTACTGTTGGATGATTTGTGCCCCTAGCATCATCCCTGGTTATCCTGAGTACCTTCCATTAAGCCACCAATTGGCAAAGACATGCCGAGAGAAGGATGAGTTGAGGGTGTTTGTTCCTATGTAGGGCACTAACCCAGATCAAATTGCAAAGGATGTGGGTTTGATCATAACTTGACTGAGTTGTCAAGCCCTGGCTCTGAAATTTGATTGGTGCAATGCTGAACATGTGGCTTAAACCTCTAAAGGCCTCAGTCACCTCTTCTGAACAGTGGGTAGATAAACAATTCTCCCTCTTCTACTCGGAAGATATTAGTTGGTAAGTTTGGTGTAGGTAAGTAAATAATTCTTCAGAGGCTGAAGAGATGGCTCATGGGTTAAGAGCACTTGCAGCTCTTCTAAATGACCCAGGTTTGGTTCCCAGTACCCACATCAGGCGGTTCACAGCTGATGTTCATAGAACACTTGCCTAGCATGCATGATGTCCTAGGCACAATCCCCAGTACAGAGAAGAAAAATAGACCATATGACCTTTTGGGGGGTCTGGAAAGATGACTCAGTGGTTAATGGCACTTGCTACTCTTCCAAAGGACCTGAGTTCAGTTCTCAGCACCCATGTCTAACTCCAGCTCCAGGGGATTCAGTGCCCTTTTTTGGCTTCCAGGGCATACATTCATACACACACACACACACACACACACACACAGACAGACAGACAGACACACACACACACGCACAAGTAATTTTAAATTTTTTTAAACTAAAAAGAAATAAGCTGGGAGTGGTGGTGCACACCTTTAATCCCAGCACTTGGGAGGCAGAGGCAGGGGAATCTCTGTAAATTCAAGGCCAACCTGGTCTACATAGTGAGTGGTTGGCCAGCCAGGGCAATAGGGAGAACCTGTCTCAAAAAACCTAAAATGAAATAATTCCAATCTGGCTTAGAAAGTCCTTCTCAGATTTCCTATGAAGTCTCAGCCCCAACTCCCCCAGTTTCCCAGAACTGCTTGCTTCAGCTGCTCCTAGCAGGGGACCCACAGTGGGTGATTTCTGAAGACTAGTCTCTGGTATGTGTGAGTACAGCTCCGTGTGCACACTATAAATAGCCAGGAAGTTGCAAACACAGAGGCTCCTGGCTCTCAATTGACATAGCCCAAGCTAAAGCATTAGGCAGCTTCTTCCAGCTCACTTTCTCCTGACCCCTTCCCACCTGTGGTGTAGGGCAGCTGTGCCAGGCAGGGAGGCCTTACTGAGGTCATGATCATGCAGAGCTGATCCCTTGATTTGCAGGGACAAAAAATTCTCTCAGCCCAGCTGGGAGAGATCAAACCCTGGTAAATTGTTTTGTGCTGACTAAACTCATAGGAGCTTGGTGTATGACCAGAATGGCAATTCATTAATTTAGAATGAAAACTGTAACTGACAAGCAGAGCAGCTGTTTGTGTTGGCTGGTGAGTGCATGCTTTCCCCTATGGGGAAAACTTGGGAGTTAAGATTCAAAGATTTCTGGGTAACAATGGAATTAGAAGAAAGGAGCTAAGTGGTACCAGGTAGACCTGCCTCTTTCCTCTATACTCACATGCACACACACACACACACACACACACACACACACACACGTTTCAATGTCACTCTAACATACACTGGCACATCTGTCCCATATGTGCACATATATACACTCCCATATTTCCTTTTTGCAGTCTGTTCTAGTTTCACTTCTGTTGTTGTGATTAAACACTCTGACCAGGGCCTGGGGAAATGCTTAAGCAGATAAGAGTGCTTGCTGCTCTTCCAGGGGCCCTAAGTTCAATTCCCAGCACCCATGTTGGGTGGCTCACAACCATCTGTAACTCCAGACACAGGGTACCAACGCCCTCTTCTGATGTCTGTAGGTGCCTGCACACGTGGCATACACACAGAGACACATAGACACAAAATTAAAAAATAAAATAAACCTTAAAAACAAAAGAAACAAAAAACCACTCTGACCAAAAGCACACAGGGAGGAAAGGAAATATCTGACTTACATTTCCAATTCCCTGTCCATCATTGAGGGAAATCAGGGCAGGAACCCGAAGGAACGTGTATTGGTTACTCTTCTGTTGCTATGATAAAGCACCGTGATGAAGACACCTTGTAGAAGGAAGAGGTTATTGGGCTTATGGTTCCCCAGGGATAAGAGTCCATCATGATGGGGAGCTGTGGCAGGAAACAACCAGAGCAGAAAGCTGAGGGTTCATGTCTTCAAGCACATTCAGGAAGCAGAGAGAGTGAATTGGAAGTGGGATGAAGCTGTGAACTCTCAAAGTCCACCCCAGTGACATACTTCCTCCACCAAGGCTACTCTGTCTAAATCTTCCAAAATAGCACTACCAGCTGGGGACCATATACCACACGTTCAAACACTTGGGGGACATCTCTGATTCAGACCATAGCAACACACCTGCTATTCCACACAGCATTATATCTAACCAGAGAACTAACTCACAGTCAAAGTTTACAGCAGAAACTATGGAGGAATGCAACTTGATGGCTCACACGGCTCATGCTCAGCTACTTCCTTATACAGCCCAGGACCACCTGCCTAAAGAATGATGCTACCCACAGAGGGCTGGGCTCTCCTATATCAATTAATAAGCAAGACGGTTCTCCACAGACATGCCCATAGGCCAGTTCAATTTAAGAAATTCCTAAATTAAGGCTTTCTTCTCAGGTGATTTTTGGTTGTGACAAGTTGACACTTAAACTTAAATCACATGCAATCCTTTCACCTAATAGCCATACCTGGAACTTCCTCTGACTCCTGCTTCTCTCTTACTGCTCAACTCCATTTATACTCATACTCATTCTGTGTCCATTCATCCTTAGCACCGTTGTCATCATTCGAACTAAGTCTCTCATCCTTCTCCACCGACACTCTGGCACGTGCATCACATCATTTTCCCTGGAGCACCTCAATGGCCTCCTGAATTAGCTTTTAAATTGTTTATTTATTATTTCAAAATCAGCTATAGCTGATCTGATAGCTATTTATTATCTCTAATTTGTAAAAGATATTCAACAAATACAGGTTATTAGATAATGCAGTTTGTTTTTTGGGTTTTTTTTTTTTTTTTGGTCTTTTTTTGAGGCAGGATCTCCCTGCAGCCCCAGATGTCCTAGAACTCACTATGTAGACCAGGCTGGCCTTGAACTCACAGAGATCCACCTGCCTCTGCCTCCCGAGTGCTGGGATTAAAGGCGTGTGCCACCATACCTGGCCAGATAATGTAATTTTTTAAAGATTTATTTTTGGACTAGTCAAAAAGACAAAAAAAAAAGATTTATTTTCTTTTCTGGGGTCGGGCATGGTGGTATACACCTTTAATCCCAGTACTTGAGAGGTAGAGGCAGGCAAATCTCTATGAGGTTGAGGCCAATCTGGTCTACATAATGAGTTCCAGACTAGCTGGGGCTGCAGGGAGATCTTATCTTGAAAAACCAAAATAAATAAATAAATAATTTTTATTATCTTTTTAATTATGTGTCTCTCTGTGAGTATGTGCACATGAGTACAGAAGAGGGCATCTGATCCCCTGGAGCTGGAGATACAGGTTATTGTGAGCTACCTGACATGGGTGCTGGGAATTGAATTTGGGTCCTCTGCAAGAGTTAAGTGCTCTTAACTGTTGAGCCATCTCTCCAGCTCTGGATAATCCAAATTCCTTTTTTTTTTGGTCTTTTTGAGACAGGGTCTCCCTGTAGCCCCAGCTGTCCTGGAACTCACTATGTAGACCAGGCTGGCCTTGAACTCAGAGATCCACCAGCCTCTGCCTCCCAAGTGCTGGGATTAAAGGCATTGGTATAAAAAAAACATACATTTATTAGCTTACAGTCCTGGAGGACACAGCCTGCTGGATGTCACAGGCAGGGCTGTTTCCTTTCCAGTCTCTGGAGGAGAGTCCATTTCCTTGTGTTTGAGGCTCCTAGACACAGTAGGCTCTCTGCTCATGCCCCTTCCTCCAACTTCAAAGCCAGCAGTGTAGCATCTCTGAGCAGTCTCTATTGTCGCCTCACCTCTGACACAGTTGGGAACAATTCTCTTTTAAGGATGCATGTGATTACAGTGGGTCTAGAATAATCGTCCCATATCAATGTCCTTAACTCAACAACTCTGCCAAGTCCTCTTTGTTGTGTATCAAATTAGGATGTCAGCATCCCTGGGGAACCATTAGTCTGCCTATCACACTCCTGACTGGCTCCCTTGTCATCCTGCCCTGTCATCCACATAACATCCAGAAGCCTTTTAAAAATGGAAACCTGTGCAGAGTGTGGTGGTGCACACCTTTAATCCCAGCACTTCACTCTGGAGGCAGAGGCAGGCAGATCTTCGTGAGTTCAAGGCCAGCCTGGTCCATAGTGAGTTCCAGGCCAGCTGGGGCTACAGAGAGTCCCTGTCTCAAAAAGACAAAAAAAAAAAAAGAAAGAAA